ATTTATTGATCACACCCACATATTGTGAGCTGTAGATATAAAAATTAGTATGCATGGGGTCTCTGAGACCTAAACATGACTTCAAGAGTTCCTTCAGGATAAAAAGATTGAGAAAGTGTCAGCTCCAATAACAGATCACTCCACAGGAAAATTAGAACTACCCTACCAAAAGGGGTGCCAGAAATGACAGCCAGAATTCGCCAACCCCTAGGAATAAGCAATAGCTCACAAATCCACAGCCACACTCTGCCAGGAATTACCCAGGACCAAAGACAAGACACAGAAGGATGAAAGAAACAATGTAATCTACAAAATCAACTCTAACGACTGCAACCAATTCTACGTGAGACAAACATCATGTCAATTAAAAACCAGGATCCACGAACACCAGCTGGCAGTCAAACACCAGATCCCAAAACTTTATTCTCTAACCACACCAACACCAAACAACACTAGTTCGATTGGAGCAACACTAAAATCATCGGCCATGCTACCACCTGTGTGAGTTCATCAAAGCCTGGCCCTCCACAAGCAATTCTATCAACAGACACATTGACCTACAACCAGCCTACAAACCCCTCAGAATCCAAATCAATCACACAGCCAGCCAGAGACAGCCCTGACCCTTAACCAACCCATACAAGTCCCTTCCCCCACACCAGCAGTTCACCTTCCGGTGACCCTGACCTGATGTAACCTCCCCATCACAAGACCCATCCCAAGCCTCTCACTGATGACTCACACCTGACCCACCACAAGACTCTCACTTAATATAACCTGAAGCCCATATAAACAGAAGATCACTGACACTTACATCCCCTGAACTCCGCTGAAGATGTTACCTAGGCTGGTAATGAAACATTTGGAAACCAACCCACAAGCTTAGAGAACAAACCTTCACCCTCAATTAGAACTACACTTTGCAATGGGTTATAATAATGGAATCTTACAAGCCTGATTGGATTTTATCTCCCCTCCTCCTTATGCCCCAGTGACTCAGGAAGGAGCCTGTCTGTGTCACTGTCAAATGCTATCTTCATTACCAGGGCTTAAAGAATATTTCAGCCCTTTTTGCTTATGGAATAGTTTTTGCATTTCTATCAAGGGTATCTCCCTTATTTTCTATAAGTGGTCCTTGTCTCGCCACTCATTCAGTGATTATTTGAATTTACAGCAGTATTGAATGAGTGGTACTTATGATCCATCCTTGTACTTATATTGATTGGAGTGTCCCTGTGGTCACTAGTTCTTTACTGTCTTCCTACAAGTAAAGTCATTGGGGAAGTCAGCAGGAAGTTGCAAATAGCAAGCACACGATGTCCTCGTTTAACAATACATAGTGATTCACTTACAACAATAACCAAAAGTGCTGGACTTTCCAATGCTAAGCAGCACAGTCACATGACATCATGTTTTACAATTGCATTGCATAGCCACAGAAATTCTGGTCCCAATTATAGTCATTAAGTGAGGACTACATGTACAGAATGGTTAATCCAGACAATGAAAGTCTCTTTCCCATATGGCTATTGCTACATTCATAGTTTTGCAAGAAGTGTGTGTGTCTCACTACAGTCAGTAAACCAAGTACAGAAGTCAAATGCTCATAGATCCTCTCATTGTGAAATGCAATATTCTAATTGGTCAAAATGTCAGTTCATTATTCTTAAAGATTTATCCACAAAGCAGGTTCCCCTGCTGCTAATATAGCAGTAGCACTTAGACTTATATACTGTTTCATAGTGCTTTACAGCACTCTCTAAGTGGTTTACAGAATCAGCATATTGCCCCCAACAATCTGAGTCCTCATTATACTGACCTTGGAAGGCTGAGTCAACCTTGAGCCCTTCAGGATTGAACTCCTAGTAATGAGCAGACTCAGCCTGCAATACTGCATTCTAACCACTGCGCCACCAGGGCTCTTAATCCAGAAGTACTCTGTTATCTCACACAATCTGTTAAAATTCAGTGTTTCTCAACCTTGACAATTTTAAGGCATGTGGACTTCAACTCCCAGAATTCCACAGCCAGCAATGCTGGCTGTGGAATTCTGGGAGTTGAAGTCCACATGCCTTAAAATTGCCAAGGTTGAGAAACACTGTGTTAAATCATGATACGGTTTGCTTGGCTTTGCCCTAGTATCTATGTAGCTGCAACCATTGGATTATAAGCATGGTAGCTTGGGAAGTCTGGCTGCTGAAAACCATACATCTTAGAGTTGCCAAGGCTGACACACATTGTACTAGAGCAGGGGTGTCAAACTGCCGGCCTGCGGGCCAGATGCATCATAGCGAAACCGCGCCCACCCCATTGCTGGCAATGTCAAAAAAGTCACGATACGTCACGACACTTCACGTGACGTTGCAAGTTTGGCACCCCTGTACTAGAGGAAGGTTGTCTGGTCTTTTCAGACAAAGAAACTACCTCTATATAAGGAGAGTGTAGAAATTAGAAAATTACACCAGCGCTTCACTAATATTTTAGTTCTATGACATCTGTTTCAAAATGTTTCACCCTCATTAATTTTGCTAAAAACTCACCTGCTTGAATAATTTTCAAGCAGGGTCTTCTAACAGTATATCACTTCAGCTGCAAAGTTTAAAAAGTCAATTTCATGACTTTCTAACAATGTTAAGAAATTAGCATATGCAACAACTCCAGCCTGGATCTCCCTCAGGTTGACATAACTGAGTGTTTTAATAAACCATGCTCTGCTTTGAATAGGGGTTTTTTCACATTTTCTTCATTCTTAGGTCTTTAGGGGGAAAAAAAACCCCTTACATTAAGAGGTCTAGATATAGCAAATCAAATGCTCCATTTAAAATTGCCAGTACTTTATTCTGAAATGGGATAAGATATAAGGATTGGAATGGCACAGATCTCAGTGCTTTTGCTCATATGGAGTGGGATTTCAATGGTCATATTGTTTAGTCAGCTACTGGTAATTAAGGAAATGGAAATCTAACTCATTTGGCGCATATGGGGACTATCACTAGGTAGAAGAGAAATGGAAAAGTAACCAATTTTAATTTGGAACTTGGACTCAGATCAGCTCTTGTTTGTGGATGAAAAAACAGTAATGAACTAAATCTGCTGTGTAGTAAAGGAAGCTCTTTGCTTCAGTAATTTTATTTTCTTAACTGAGTGAAAATGTTACGAAATGACCTAAATTGAAATGGCCACTTATGTGAGAAAATTGATACTGGGTTCAGGTTTTCTTCTCTGGGTCAGTTGAGTGCCTTCCATTTGTCCAGCTTTCGCTGAGCCCGAGGGCGCTTTAACGTGGCTGCCATCGTTCATTTCTCCAACCCTCAGAAGAAGTTGGAAGAGATGACCTGTGATTTCTTCATTTCTCCTGGCTTGTTAAAAACAAAGAGGAAAATCACTGCTGTGTCCAGAACTGCTGCAGATGCTGTTGCAACAAAAAATTCTCTTGCTTCTGCTTCATTCAGAAGGAAAGGAAAGAGGAAAGGAGGAAAGGAGAGAGAAAAAAAAAACCCTGTGTGCTTCTTTGAGCACCTACTCAACTCCTGGAAAAGAAGAGGGAAACTGGCAATCCGCTTGTCAATTTTACCATTCTCCATTTTTTATGGGCTACAAAATAGGACATCACCAGATGGCAGGAAAAATCAGAGAGCTGCAGTAAGAATGGGATTGGTCTGACTGTAGGACTCCATCTATCATCTCTAGCCTATTTCTTGTGTTCCTTCTCCTGCACCCCATTCTGTCATAACCTGATAAAAACATACATCTGACTGGTATCATAAAGGGAACTAAATCATAAGAAACACTTTTATGAAGGAATTCTGACCACTTTCTTCTGTTTACATGCCACAAAGAATCTCCCTTCTCCATGCAGGAGACACGAGAGGATGGGTTGAGCTCCTGTTAGTCCACCATTTCAGCCTTGCATTAAACCAATAAGGGCCATAAAGTACAGGGATATGCCTTATTGCCAACCGATCAGGCTAGCAGCACAATTGTGCAAATCTGAGAAACCCAGCATGGCCATGCTTTTTGCAGTTCTCTAGGGCGACAAAAACAGAACGAGCCACTCTCAATCCCCTAGAATAATAGATGTGTAATAGATGTTACATAACTTACAGGTAGGTGCTGTTGTCTTTTGTCAGCTCAAGCAGGGGGCAGTACTGCTTTAATACCTGTATGTTGTGGTGGGATTCAGCCAGTTCACACCACTTCGGCAGAACCAGTAGCTAATTTTTTGTTGCCCAGGCCCAGAATGGACTTCAGGAAGCGGCATCCACACAGAGAACCAGTTGTTCACATATCTGAATCCCACCACTGCCTGTATGGCTATATTGTAGACATTTGAAAGCTGTCTCACTCATGGCTGCAGATGGGATGAAGATAGCCACTTCAGGAAATGTCAGAAAAAGAGGTTGCCACAGATGTTTGTGCTCCTGTATGGTTAAGTGCAAGTGAGGAAAGACCTCAAATCTAAAAAAAAGTGTGTCATGGGTAATGATATATGTCATTTGCATAATTACATCATCACACAAAGAACCCAAATAACACTATTCATGTCAGTTTGTCACTTAAGTCAATTCATGACATTATTACTCAATACCAAATGGTATATGTTTATGTTAGGTTAATGTTATATTTAAGGGCCCCTTAATTTGGTTCAAATGAAACAGATTGGGGGGGGGAGGATATCCAAGGAAAGTGTTTATTGCATTTTGAGTCTGTTAAATGAAGCTCTGTTAAGGTGAGAGGCTACTCTATTATTTTAGTTTGGAGTAATTAAATGATATTTTTGAGATTCATAAGAACTGTGCAGAAATGTGTCAGTAAGGTTCTTGTGCAGGAGAACATGTCTACCTCCTGGTATCATGTAGACAAATACTAGCTTTCTCCGGAGGAGAAGTAATCTGAAATAATAATAATCCATAATCATTTATGGATAATGTAGAAATATTTCCATCTATTGTTCAGCTATAATATTTCTGATTGTGTCTTCTTTCTTTTTCCCCATTTAGGATATTTGTGGCAGGCATTGGATTTTTCACTCTCTGCTTCTTAATGACATCCCTGGGAGGTCAGTTTTCAGCCAAAAGACTGGGAGACTCTCCATTCACCATTAGGACAGAAGGTAATTACCACAACTCATTTTAATTAGAGGTTTCCAGTTTGACAGTCTGGAGAATTAACTTCCTTTAATAATTTTGGGAAATACGGCTGATGAAGAGAAAAATATGGTTGCCATTGAGCACCAAGAAATGCTGTCGGAAGCAAGTAGAGGTGGGCTCCATCAATGTGTGGTGCACTATATGGTCAGCTATATCCTTAATTGCTCCTAACCTCAAGCGGGTCCTAAACAAATCCAAAGAACAGTGTAGGAGCTACCTATGTTGGATCAAACAAAGGGCAGCTCCAGCCTTTGGTTTCCATAAGAGCTAACCAAATAGCTCTGGGAAGTTCATTGTTAGGGCATGTTCACAATTCTACCCCAACAATATTAAGAGTTATGCTGCTCTGATACTTGGAATAATACATATCCATCCTGACTTAACTACCACAAATTTTCCTAATTCATTTGCAGAAATTACCAAACTAGTATCATCCCTAAATCTTGTAAGGGTAAATTCCATATTTAAATTATGTATGGCATGAAAAAGTTCTTTTTCAATCTACATTTCTCACCTCTTAGCTGTACCACATGATTGGCTCTATTAATGTTTGTTTGTAAAGGACAAAAAAAAACCTTCTTCGTGTAAAACATGATCTTATATATCACAATAAATATTCCCCTTTGAACTTTCATATCAGGTTCCAGATAGAAACTATTGGAAATTTTTAGCAGGACTAGATGGTGTTCAGAGTGAAGAAGCAGGATTATAAAATGTATCTTCAAATGGAATTGAATGGTAGGTTTAAAGTAGCCACATCAACCAAGATTATATCAGCAGTTCCCAATCTGTGGTCTGAGGTTCACTAGTGGTCCATGAGGACACTGAATGGGATCCCTGTTGTGGAAGCTGAAATAATATATATTTAGATGGTAAAAATCCTGTGAACTGATCCAATCTTGCACGATTTTGTTATTGTCACTTCTATCTTCTTAAGAACTTTTGGTTGATGTTGAATTTATACCTCATCTTTCCTCAAGGCACATCGATAGCACTCTTTTTCTGAGTTTTCCCCACCGCAAAAACTCTGTGAAATCAATTGAATGAGAGGGAGGGACTGACTTAAAATAATTTAGTGAACCCGAATCTCTCCATTTCTTCTCCAACATTTTAACAATACTTTTCACGGAAATACCAAAATCTTATAAGATTTTGAACAGGATTTCCTCCGCTGAAAGAAAATAAATGTTGATGGCATAATGATGTGCATAAGGGAACAGTTTGGGCATCTTTGGTCTAAGCCAAGTCAAAATTTAAATAGGCCAATGTTACTATTTAATGTGTTGTTCTATTTAATGTACAAAATTCTTCATGGGCTGGCTCTGTCCTGTCTCAGACCACATATGTGCAAACAAGCACAGAGGTGGTTGCAACCCTTACTGAGAAGCTTATGAAGCAAATAAACAAGCAGCAAAGGGAATGTGAATAGAAAATACAAATGCATAGAAATCCACACAAAATCAAGTCCCCCAAAGTCCAGCAAGTTTGCTTTGAGAGACTTCCAACTCCTAAAGAGCAGGCAAAAGAGGGGTCAAGAGAAGTCCAAGAGTCTAAACATTGTAGAAGGGCCATCAGCAGGCACAGAGTCAAAGTCATGAGGTTTCAAATTAGGAATCAAGGCATTGGATAAAGTGACCAATTGTTGCCAATGGAGAGGCTCTTCTTTAATAGAAACAACCCCAATGGTATTCCTTTGGAAGTCTTTGCTCTACTCTACTCTGCACATGGCAAGCCTTGAACCAGGAAGGGGTGACAGCTGGGACTCCTCAACTCAGTCTGGCAGTGGCAGCTGTGTCCCCTGGTTCGTGAGCAGCACAGCCTCCTCTGCCTGCACCTGCTCAGGCAGGGGTTTGTCTGGCAATTCTGAAATTGACTGACATTATTGGTCTTCTGGTTAGAATCCGAAGTGGCCATGACAGGCCCTGGCAGAGCTTCCTGTACTGTTATGCTTTGCTTAGATCAAAGGAGTAGAAGTGATTGTGTTGCATTTGTTGGCTTTCACTGTTTCCCTCCCTGCAGATTTTATTGTGGATCTGAACTTCTGGACAGGATTTTATTAGACCTCAATATATTCTGTCATATAACCTCAGCCTTAAAATTCTTGACCTTATTTTATTCAGGATGATAGTTCCTGATGTTTAAGATCAGGATCATTTAAGTTTTGTGAGGCAGATCAAACTGAACTCAAGGGAATCTTTTACTGTATAAACATGATTATAATTCCTTTCAACATGTTATTAATATTTTTATTAATTATTAAATGTGATTCTTATCTTACCTTCATTACTTTATAAGTAACTCAAGGCAGCAAACATACCTAATAGTCCTTCCTTCTCCTATTTTCCCCACAACAACTTTATGAGATAGGTTAAGCCAGGCATGTCAAACTCGTGACGTCACGTGACGTCGTGCAACATATCGTGACTTTTTCCCCATTATCAGCACTGGGGTGGGCACAGTTTCAGCATGATGCATCCGGCCTGCGGGGCGGCAGTTTGACATGCCTGGGTTAAGCTGAGAGAAAATAACTGGGCCAAAGTCACCCAGCTGGCTCTCATACCTAAGGCAGGACTAGAACTCACAATTTCCTGGTTTCTAGGTTAACCCCCTAACCATTACATCAAACTGATTCTCTACATTATGATGAATTATTATTAATAAATAAATGCTATGGAAAAGCAAGTTCAAAAAAGTTAAAAATAAACTAGAAAATGAATCAAATAGCTTCTATAAAACAGCCTCATTCATAAAGTCCTGCTAATTCATTGTTTAGAATGAATATTCTAAACCATTATTCTAAATATTCTGGACCTTATTTCTCCATTATAGCATACTCTTTCTAACAGTGGGTAAATAAAGAGCCAGTTTCTTTTCATCCCTCTTTATTTCTTGCTTTTTTCATTGACAGGTAACTAACTAATCTCCCAATCTCTCTTGTAAATAAAGTGGGTTTATTTCATTCTGAAATGGAAGTTTCATATCAATGTTAAACAGGGATGGTGTTCCAATGTTATCCAGTTGGATTAAACTATGACCTTGACTTGATTGGTTGTCTTCAGCATTGTAAGTATGTCATGAGAAAAAAAGAGATAAAAGCTATCTAAATACTTGCAGGAACTCATCACAGAGTTAATTCACTTTCACTTATATCAGCTTGGGACAATGAGGTCATCACCATCACAACTGGATTTAATGAATTCCACAACAATTTTGTAGCAAGGCTGTATCTTCCAAAGCTCTCTCTCAAAGTGAAGGGAGTATCTGCCTGTCTGGTACCTTTTAAATCATCAGTAGTAAATCTAATTCTTGACCAGATAATTTCCACGCATCACTGTCATTATCCTAGCTTTCTAACTTCTTGATGCCACTGATAAATAAATTGGGAAGGAATTCATAATTTCCTATTATAGGTAATCCTCAAATTTCATCCACAGTTGGGACTGCAATTTCAGTGGTAAGTGGTATGGTTATTAAACAAATTATCATGTGACCAGACCAAATTTTACAAGCATTTTACTGTGGTCATTGAGCAAATCACTGCAGTCATTAAGCGAATCAAGCAGTCAAGTGAATCCCACTTTCCCCTATTTACTTTGCATGTTGGAAGTCAGCTGAGAAGGTCTCAAATCATGATCACATGGCCAGAGAATCAATTTGGTATGAAGGTTATCACTTTAAGGACGGGTCGTAAGTCACTTTTTTCAGTACCATCATAACTTCAAATTGACTGTCAGACCTGCCACAGTTTGCTCTCTCAGGAAAGTATGATTCGTGACTCCATTTAGTTGAAGCAAAGGAACTTTTACTGAAAGAAATTGGTTGCAATAAAGTCAGGAGGAATCTGGTGTTCCCAGGCAAAATACAAAGCTATTCTTTCCAACTCCCAATCCCTCCCCCCAATGACCAGTCCCCAGACCAGCCAATATGATGCCAGTATGATGTTTTGAGAAACTCTGAGGTGCGAAACTGGTAACATTCCATTCTCAGTGCAAACAGCCTTGAAGATCCTGGTTTGGTGATCTGGTTTGGTGATCTGGTCTTCTTCCATTGTCACTTCCCCCTCCCATTTCCCACCATTAGATACACAGGTGTGGGTTGCCCAAAATGCCTCCCCCCTCCCTTCCCCTTTGATGGCAGGAACCCAGTAAGGTGCCAGGCCAACAATAGAGATCTTGACACTGTCATTAAATGAATGGTCATAAGTCAAGGACTATCTGTACCCCTTATGTATCATATTGTCAGGTCCAAATCCAAAGACAACAGTGAAATCCAATCAAGTCCAATCCTTTATTTGCCAATCTTGCCAAGCTAAAGCTGTAACTTTCCCACCTACTAGATATATCCTAAGAGATTTTAGAATGTGGCTATCCAGTACCGATTCCTCCCTTCCCCATTTAGCTGGGGACTGTGCAATCTCTTCATTTGGACCTCTCTCTGGAAAAGCTCTGTGTTACCAAAACTCTTCCTCATTCTTCCTGCAGATGCCCATTCCATCACACACAGCTCTTTTTAGAGCAGTGTTTCCCAACCTTGACAGCTTTAAGATGTGCGGACTTAAACACTGTATTAGAGAATTAGCAAAAAAGCTGCTCTCCACTTGCTAATGATAACCTTCTACTTAACTTGCACACTTACTCAAACCATTTTTCAGAGTTGGGGAGTTGACTTTAAGTACGCCATCTGTTGCCTGTGCAGGAGGTCCATTTTTTATTTTTTTGCATCAATCATTAATCTACAAGCTGGATGACGTGCTGGCTCCTCCAGAGATAGTCACATATGCTTGCTATAGTGCATGTCTCAGAGGATGGGGGGATCTTTCACAGCAAATATCTAGTGTTAAATTTATTTTTGTAGCTTGGTCTATATGATAACCCTGTGAAATGAGTGGTTAAAAACATGCTGAGAAAGAAGCAAATTACTTTTGTGTGACATCTCATTTTTACAGCATCCAAGCTATATCTTA